CTGGCGCGTAGGCAGGATGTTGGGCCTGATACCACTGACGGATCTGGGTGAAAATGTTGGTCTAATGGCTGTACCACCTTGTCGTCCTTTATTCCGGGGTCTCCTTTCGTCGCCTGAATGGTTGGTACACTCTTGGCAGACACCAGAGTCCTTTCGCGGGGGTGGAGGACCTTGTCCCCTCGCCATACCTTCGGTGTCACCCCTGGGGGCTTGATCAGGTGGGCCAATGTGGTCAGGTCCTGGAGAACGTTCATGCCCAACAAACAGGGTGGAGCTGATGAGCCACCCACTGGATCCTTTATCACAAGGAACCCCTTGTCGCGTATTTCTTCCTTGTTGATCTCCAGGTCAGTAATAAAATAGCCATTGTATGGGATGGCCAACCCGTTTGCTGCCCTCAAGGACAGGGGTGTGTCTGTTCTTAGGATAATGTTCTTGAGGCTCCTGTTACAAAATGTTTCAGTGACCGTGCTGACTTGTGAACCACTGTCTATAACGGCCGTCACCGGTACACCTTGTAAATACACAGTCAGGGTGGGGCACTGTCCAGCCAGCTTGTGAATGGTGGAGCTTGGGCTCTGCCCACCAGCAGTAGTAAGACTCTGAATCACTGCGGCCTCCTGCTTCTTTGAGTTTCGACAATTGCGGGCGAGGTGACCTTGCTGGTTACAATTGTAACACATTCTTGTTTCCGCCTCTGGACGTCGGCGGGGTACCCTTCGGCTAGATGACACTTGAGGGTTCTGTGCCAACTGAGTCAACAGAGCCGATAGCTGCTCTGCGAGCTTGTCCACCCTGTCTTCCAGCTTAGACCTGGGCAGGGTGGGTTCTTCCTTGGGGCGGGCATGTAGAGCTGCCACATAGGCAGGTTCTGTCCCTGGGTCCTCGTCTCCAGACCATCGAATGGCCGCATCCCGTATGGCCAGGAAGGGGATCTTAGGGTCCCTGAAAACTAGTTCTTGCAACTGACGTCTGACTGAGGACTGGCTCAGCTTTTCCATAAACTGGTCCCTTAGGAACTCAGCATTCGTCTGAGGGACTTGCAGGGTGCCCTGTCTGGCAACAAGGGCCTTGAAGGCCCTGTGCAGGCGGTGCGAGTAGGCCCTCACCGACTCGTGTTGGCCCTGCACAACCATTTGGAGTTGCGCCATTAGCTGGGAGACGCTCCTCTTCTCCCCATAGACTTCTCGGAGGAGCCTGATGGAGGCCTCTGGGTCACGTTGCAGGTCATCTCCCCTGCAGCTCAGTTCTTCTCTCACAGCTTCCCCCAGGTACTGCCAGAGAAGGTCCTTCCTCTCTTCCACTGAGACGTCTCTTCTGGCCCTCCAGAGAGACTGGACCTCGTCAATGAATCGTTCCACCTCATAGCCGTGGCTGTCCCCATGAAACTTCCGGATGAGGATCTCCCTGGGTGGAACGATGCTGATGGTTTGTGCCACCTCCGCCATCTCGTCCGAATTGGGTGTTAAGACTACAAACAATTCCTACACTAAACAAAAACTAAACACATATGGTTCCATAAAGGGCCTATCAAGAAACAAAAATTTATCTAAGCTACACTAGCCCTAGAAAAACAAAAATTTAACTAGACTAAAGCACTGAACCCCACTCGTGCTACCAATTTGTAAGCCCTGCTAGGGGGGGATACCTACAATCTACCCTTCTAGGCTTAACTAATCTGTCCGGTCAGTGCAACCGTGGTAGAACCCACAGTGGTTAAACCCTAACCTTAGTCTAAATGATAAGCTACTAAAATTAAAACAAAAAAACTTAAACTTTTAACAATTTAATAAAATTTATTGCATGGAACCAAAAGTTATAAAAAAAGAATAGATAAAACTGACACAAAACAGAACCAAACGAAACAAACTTTTTACATCAAACAAAACACCCAATTTCGGACTACGTCCAGGACTAAGACGAACACAAACACAAAATAAATACGACTGGATGGTGCGAATTTGCTATTCTTTTCACTGGATGACCAGAGAGACTGCCTGCCCTCTTCACCGCGGCTTTCCACACAAAAGACAGAGTTGAACAAGCCGGAAACCGACTTCCCCACACCTCACACCCTACTCGTAAACAAATAGTCCCTAATTCACGGATAACAAACCAAACACGACGAAACATGCAACAGAATATTATAAAAAGACACTTAATATAAACAATGACAACAATATAAAGGAAATATATATAAACTAGCTATAACCAGGGACATAGACAGTGAGACAGCGGCGCCATAATACGGGACTACACAACTAAAAACGACGAACCATTTACGACATGAAACGAAACGATACATTCGCCTTCTAAGTTACAAATAATAAAAATACACTCCAGCCGCTCACATGTAGAAAAAATTAGGAAAAGATGTGGTTGGATAGGGCACACACTGCGCAGACCGCCGAGGAATATCACCAGTCAGGCATTGAGGTGGAGCACTTTTAAAAAAAAAAAGGGCAAAAAGAGGTCGACCAAAAAACACCCGGAGACGGGACCTTGAGGCTGAAAGGAGAAAGATGGGATTTGATTGGAGCCAGGTTGAGAAGATGGTACTGGGCTCTGGATATCTTTGTTTGGAAGCCCCATCAGGGTCGACGGGCATTTATGAAATGTTTATCAATAGGGCTGGAAAGTAGGTCACCAACCAGTTCTACGGCTCAATAAAACCTGCATGAGCCATATAACTGGTTGATGACCTACTTACTACCAGCCCTATTTATCCGCCTATATATGATAGCGTCTTTTTGTGCATCTGCAACTCCCCATATCCCGAAAAGCCTAGGTATAACACATAATGCAGTGCTGATCCTTATAAAAAGAAACATCTCGCAGCATATTTCTATTTTGCGTATCTTAAAATGATGAAAAACTGACATTTTTTCCAATGTGCTAAGTCAGAAATGCCTAAGGTTGCCCTACATTAAGACTAACTAGTTCTGTGTCTTCTAATGGTCTCTAAACTCCAGCATGAGCAAATGTAAGAAAATTTCAGTGTGACATACAGTGTATGGTTCAAAGTTTCCATCCACGAGATTAGATAGAGATGAAACTAATGAACTAAAACAACATAACAAATTAAATATTGTAACCAGAGTTTGTTTTTTAAAAAAGTGTTTGTCTCTACAACTTACTACAAGTAAAATTTCACAAATATGGCTAGCTCTTTGTAATATTTATTTCCATTCGCAATTTATTTTTCGACAAACTATAGCACAAATGTATGATTCTCAGAATTTGATTTTAATTTTGCATAGGCATGTGTAAATTATATGAAGAAGTCAGGCTTTGCTCCTTTATGAACAATATTTTTGGAGTATCCATGTTCTATATATAAATATAAATCACTTTTACAACTACGTTCCTACCTACATTTTTAAAATCACGTGCACATCATACATCCTATCAATTGAAAAGAAATTCAAAACTGAAATTAGCAACATTTAATAAGTAGTATCAGCAGTGTAGAGAGGGGGGGGAACATATGTCCCCGGGCGCCGACCTTAGGGGGCGCCAAAATGGTTTGGAAAAATAAATTGAAAGGTTGAGGGGGGTGCAAATCGAAAGTTTGAGAGGGGGGGGGGGTGCAAATCGAAATCTTGAGGGGGGGGGGGGTGCAAATCGAAAAGTTTGTACCCGGGCAGGGTCGCTAAGCCTCTGAGTAGTGTTCTTTCTTTAGATGCCCAAGAAGATTAGGAAAGAGATGGCACTGCACTGACCAATTCTTTTGGTGTAAATGTGTTGTTTTTTCTATAGTACCGTAGTAAACATTACAAAAACTTAGAAATTTCAGCAGGGCTATTATTTTCTTTAGGTTCTTTTTTTAAAAAATAGATACAGAATTTAGTAAAATTATTCCCTAATCCCACATCCATAATTTTTTTAAAAAGTATACATTTAATATATTATTTTCAGTATAGGTATAGTGTAGTAAAACTTAGATCTAAAAGTCAGATGTTAGTTACCATTTTATAGAGCAAATAACAAAGGTTAATCCATTTTTATTCGCAATGGATTATTGAGTAATTATTGATAATTATTAGTGTGCAACTGTTCTCCAGATGTAGACTCCAGATGGATGCCATTTCACTAAAAAATTTAAGATCCCTTTTTTTTGTGTTGTGTCTTTTGTCCTGGCACTTTGGTTAGTACAGTTTTTGAAATGTTCACTTCATAAAAAAAAAATTAAAATTTTTCTTTTTATGAATACAACAAAACAAATAAAGACATGACCTGTGTGATGAAAGGGGCAGTATTTTTGTTGGTTTCAAGCACAACAATAAACATGAAACACATTTTCACAATATCACTAATTAGTATGATCCTCACATAAAATATAGGCCTACATTAAAATGTTTATAATTACTTTATGTAATAGTTACTATATTTTAATATATGTTTGTTAGTTGTACTGTTTAAAGTGAATGAGTGTAAGGTTTCTTCATCATAGAATAACATTTTGATGTATTCTTTTTTAAATATCAAATATATAAGAAAACAAACATTTCAATGGCATCTTCTTGTATAGTGTTGATAAAATGAATTTCAAACATGATTTAAGAATCACAAATACTGATAATAAAACCTTGAAGGTAAAAGTAAATAATTAACTTAAATTAAGCAAGAAGGACTAATTAAAGTGGTTGAAAAAAGAATCTTGGGTAGTAAAATATTGAAAATTAAAAAAGGGAAATATTTTAAGCATATTAGTTAGTACTATAAAAGTATTTTTGAAACTATGATATAACTAATCTAACACCATAAGTAACTTCTGAAGCTTACTAACACTATTACTGTTTTTAATTATTTTATGTAATAAAAATACTATGATTCATCAAGAGATGTTTTTATAAAAAATGTAGCTTCCGTTATAGTGAAATCTAATACAGATTTACCTATTCCCTTATCCATGGTACATTTTATCTTTAATATTTGTTACCCTTGAAGAACTGCATTTAAAAAAAAAATCAATAAAATAGTGTATATCTAAATTTTTTTGTACAATAATGCAAACTTTTAAAAAATTAGATTTTAACTCAAATTAAAGCTCTACTATCTACAAAGTTATTTGAAAACAAATTTTCACTTCCATACATATAAACATAATCTTTATTTCAATAGTCTATAAATATACAATGTTGAAATAATTTAGCAATACTATTTTAGATGAATTGATTTATTACAGCAAAGTTTAAAACAAGAGAAAAAACAAGTAGTAGACAATATGAGGGAGATTTCCTCATTTATCAGTCACATCAAAATTTCTGATACCAAATAAAAAAAATAAAACAAACCATAGTGTTTTTATCACAATGAACTAAACTAATTTAATTTAAACAATACAAATATAACAGGAGAGTGTTCTTCTTTTTTAGTCACATTAAAATTTCTGATACCATAGTGATGAAAAATGAAAAAAAAAAAAATTGTGTTTTTATCACAATAAACTAAATTAATTTAAATAATGCAAATATAATCTTAATATTGATGTTTATGTTGAAAAAACAAAAAAATAAATAAATAAAAAACTTCAAGATGTTAACTCATTAAACTACAACACACACAAACCATAAATGAAAGATTACTTTATCATCTATCAAAAAACAGGCTCACTTTCTGTTGAACAGTTGTTTACCTGCTTGATTTATTTCTTTTCAGAATTCTTCCCTGTACTTTACATATCATCATGAATTTTAACTTAGAGGTGTATCAATATTTTTGTTAATCAACCAGCAACTTGCAATTATTTTCCACATCAAGTTGAGAGTTGCAGATTAAAGTTCGCTTACAAATGGCAACACAAAATGAAGCAAGTCACAAATCATTTTAAAATTAGGTCTAAATTTGGACCTAAAATGTTTATAAAATAAATAAAAGATGTCTTCACAGCATTCAAGATAAGCTTATCGTGTGTAGACCAATGCCTTTTGTGTCTTTGTAAGCCCAGACTAGACAGTAGTGAGACAAAAGTTGATCTAATAAAACTTTTTCATCTAGTAGCTCCAAGCGCTCTATTCTGTTAAAAAAAAATACAACACTTGAATCAATCTACAACCATTTTTTTCAATATAAAAGCTTTATATAAATATATTTAATAAAAAACAATATAGTACATAATTCCTGACGCCAAACATAAATGATCAATGTTTAATTTTGAATATTGGTCCGCCCCCCCCCCCCCCTCCACAAAAATCAACTTTTTTTCTTTATAAAAGTCCACAAAAGTCAGTTTTTTTCGGACCCCCCCCCCCCCGTGTGTACGTCATAAATGGATGACCCCTATGTGGTAATTTCCCTTTCTGTTGAGATAGTTAATTGTGTAGAAGTAGAGTTCATATATCCTTGACCTCTACATGTAAAGGGAGAGTGAGGTCAGCACTATGTCCAGCTTTCTTTACTTTCCCTGAATAGAATCAGGTACTCACCACAGCTATGTAATCTAAATTCAGTGACATCCTCTGGACTTATGCCTATGATCTGAACTCAAGTCTTTAGGTTAGTAATTTTCTCAAACCACACCAATGGTAGATATCTCTCACCTTTGCAAATCAGCTTGCGGTAAACACCTGTACACCTGAAGCATGTCCAGGGCATCACCACCTGACCACCCATGGTTTAGAAACCTGTTCAGATCAAAGTTAAAATTGTTATAATATTTATCTTAATGTATCTCAACATGTGTATTGGTAGTATAAATTTTATCACATTAAAAACATTTAGAAGGCAGTTGACAAATGCAAATTACATACTAGCAACTCTTTGACTGCAGATGTAAAAATGAATTTCACCCAGAGATAATACGTAACAAACTTTAACATATTTCTTGGCATCCTAATATTAAATCCTTAATCTAACCCTAACTCTAAAAATAATATGCAGTGATGATGATGGCTATTGAACAAAAACAAGATGTTTTTACCTATTCATTTGTGTAGTCAAACTAGCACACGCTGTGACACCATATAAGACACAATCACGGGCTTTCAAGTTTTCAACCATAACACTGCCAAAGGAATCTGTCATATTTACCTTGAAGTAAGTAAGAATAGTGAATTTACTTCTGATTCAAGTTGTTTAGTTTTACTAATATCTCAAGTAAATTATTCAATTGCTTTGTTTTTGTTACTAATAATACTAATATTAATTTTATGATTTAATAAACCTTCTGTTTGCATGCAATTGCCTTAATGTGCAATATGCTAGAGTTAATAATTTTTTTAAGGGAATTTATTTAAACTTTAAGATATTTCAACAATTTAAGTCATTTATTTTTTTGAAATCTATTTTTAAATATTATAAAGGCTGGAACAGACAACCATTCATATTATTATTTCTAAATTTAAAGCATTTGAATATAACAATATAACTTTACAACTTACATAAAAAACTTTTCTTTAATGTTCTATATAGAAAATTTAAAAATGTATTATTTCACAGTTCATGCTTTTTGTACCTGTTCATAGTTAATAAAGAAAGCTGTCGGAAAGCTATCCGCTATCCACTTGATAATTTTTTCTGTAGCATCAGGTTCAATATAGACAAGGACACACTCTGAGAGAAATAACGTCGGCATAGACCTATCCACACCCGAGGCTGAAAGCTTAGATTCCAGGTCAACTAAATTTCTTAAATTTACAGAAACTAAATGATAGTTGGCGGAGTGAAGTTCTGATTTGCTCATCATAATTTCACCATCTGCAGAGAAATTAAAATCTACAATTATTGGAGATAATAGAATAAAATGTTAAGATATTTGAATGTTGTAAAAAAGGGAGGTAAAAAGTGCGTTCAACACTATTTGAGCAACATAAATTGTCCATCAACTGGAGATGAATGAGAACTAGATTTGGGTGGACTCAACTTACGGTGGGGTATCTTAAAGACATGGGCAACTGTGTTCTACTCATGTAAAATAGAGACGTATTTCAAATTGATTAGATAAAAGCTATTTAACAAATGTTAAAAAGTTTTTTCCAGTCAGTTTAAATTTAAATACATCATTAGGTTGACATGATCCAGGGATTAGAGTTTCTTACAAGGGTGGGGGGCTCCTCCCCCAAGGAAAGCTTAGAAAAGATATAAACTTTTACCAGTGACCGCTCTGGGGAAAAAAATATAGAAGAAAAACACTGCCAGGGATGGGGGTGGCACCAAATGATCTGTAGTTTAAGTACAGAGTGGGGGGGGGGGGGGGGAAGAGACAACCAGAGTTATGTTAGCAAGTGTCACCCAACTGAATTAGATTGATTTTAAATAACAGCAATTGAAAATTGGTACTTTAAATCAATTTTAAAAAGGTACTTTTTGACACACCACCATGATAATTGTTCAATTTATTTTAATATCAATAAAAGAGTTTATATTATTATACACATAAAACTAGTATTGAATAGCCATAGTGAGAGAAACAATATAACTATATAACAACATAAACACAAAAGTTTTAGAGACATCTGTTTTTAAAACTTTTCCTGGGCACAGAAAAGGTTACACATGACTACTGAATACTCAAATGAGATCTGAAGGACTAGACTTCTCCACCCACATGGTGCAACTTTATCAGTGAAAAGCTGCGGAATTTACATAGACTGAGTCACTGATGCTACTATTAGAGGGCTGAAAAATCAGCATCTCCTTTACTACATATCTAAAAGTGTGGGTCTGGTTTATTAAAAAAAATACAACACTCAATTCATTAAAAAACAAAAACAATAATCACCTTGACCTGACAGTGCCTCTAACAGCTGCTGCTTTGATTTGATGAAATGACACTTTTTAGAAGTGACCTGTTCGAAGTCTATATCTACAAAACATGTTGGAACTAGCCCAGCTTCGTATAAGCGCCAGTACATAGTATCAAATCCAGCTCCAAGGTTAATTATCTGACATTTACATTCTGTTAGCTGTTGATGTTAAATTCAAAAGTTCATGCATAAAGTTCTGTAGGCTATAGAAATAAAAAAAGGTTTAACAAACATTTCCTATGCTAGAACTTTAATTAATAAAAAGATGTAGGCCTATACAAAAAGTCTTTAAATCATAAAAACATTTAGAATTATAGATATATTATAGATATATACAATCAGTGAGGAAATACTATTTAAATATAATTTAATATAACTGATGCTCTTATCGCGTTGTGTTATAATAGGGTGCATAATGAAGACCTGTATTGAGATAAATGTAAATAGGAGATAATTGATAATACTTAACGCCCCATAGCCCAGCTACATTTGCCCCAAACGCTGTTTTTGGGGTATGGCTGTTAAATAATAAATGCTAAATTAAATCAATTTAAAGTAAAATTATTAGCATTTGTTATTAATTTTATATTGTGTAAGATGTGTTAGAATTATTAATTTTACATTATTTTCAATAATAGAAAATACTTGGATTAGTAAAAATCTTTAAAAATGCAGTTGTACAGGTGCTAAAATGAGTAAAAAGTGTAAGACTCTTAGTCTTAGACATTAATTTTAGTTAAGTGTATCACTAGTAGTAGTATTATTATAATAAAGTCGAATGTAGCTACTCGTATAAATTTTTCAACAAGAATCTGTATGGATGTAACTCTAGCATAGTAGCCACGGTTGATCTCTGGTGCTTTTCTGCTGGCCGTCTTTGGAACCAAGTAGGAAATGTACGGGTCGTTCCAGTATCCTTTGTCAACCGCGTAACGTTTGCAAGAGGCTGCATCATCATTCGTCCCTATAATCCCGTCATCTGACATTGTAGGTCTATATTAAAAATATACAGGCCTAGATAGGTCTAGATCTAGATCTATTAGATTCTATACACAATTAAACTAGCGAGTTGCGCAGCTTGCGCCGTGACCTTTGTTGCCATGGTAATCATGGCTGTACCTTGAACCTAAATTCCATGTTTCCGGTTGCCCATTGGTAATTAAGGCCGTGTCGCTTAAGGCGAAACCACAGCACACCTGATCTACGCATGACACAGTGCGCATCTTTGTTTTAACCTCAAGAGGATTTAGATTCAAAACCTATTTTAATTTTTGGATCTCGTTTATTATCTTACAGAGGAGCAATGTGCTGAAATATAAGGTAAGAATCTATAAATAATAAGGTACTTAATATTTACATTGACATGCCCAAATGTTGACTAGACTAATAATTGGATCTTCTAAAATTAACCTATATTTTAAAATTACGATTTCAATGGTCCGCAAGCCTAGGAAGGCTCACCGCGATAGAGCCTTAATTTCGCGCCAAATTTCCTGTGATTCTTACATTATTAAAATATCGCATTACTTGATTACTATTAATATACTATAGGCCTACTAATAATTAATAATTTAGTTTAAGTAGCCTACATTACATTTACTAAATTATTACGGTTGATTAGGACAATTAGGTCTAGATCTAGACTTTACATTAATTTAATTTTAAGATTTTTACACAAGTTGACTTAAATCTAGATCTAGATTTCTAGATCTAGACTCTAGAAAAGTTAGACTCTAGTATAGTAGTAAATAGGCCTAGAATAGATCTAGATCTAGATATTATTAATAAGATAGATAGCCTAATAGATTCTGGATTTAGAAAAACGAATCCAGATTACTAGCTCTATTGATCTATAGTAACTAGATCTAGTCTAGATCAGATTAGATTTAGAATAGATCTAGATCTAGTAAAAAATAATCTAGCTTTAGGCCTAGATCTAGTTTAATTCTAGATCTAATTTAATCTATAGGCTAATAGGGCCTACACTAATCTAGATTCTAGTAAGAAATAAAAGGTGCTAGTTAATTTTGATATAGATCTAGATTCTAGATTTAGATCTAGAATCTAGATAAGTTAATTAATTATATAATTATATAAGTGTTCATCTAATTCTGCATTAAGTATTAAGTAGGACTAGGCCTATATCAATTCATTAATTAGCCTATTTATTTTAATTCAGTACATTTAGTAGATGAACACAATCATTTAATCATTATGTTTGATTAGGTCATACAAGTACTAGATTCTAGATCTAGTCTAGATCTAGATCTAGATTCTAGATCTTGTAAAAATAGTGAGACATTGTTAAATGGTTAAGAATAGATTTAGACTAGTGCAGGTATAATTCTCCATCAAGTAGGCCTATATATTTAAATTAATGTAGGCCTATGTATATATCCATAATTAGGCCTATTAAGGACAATTTTAGTACTTGATAATTTTATTAATATTAATTTAATTCTAGACTTGTGTGCCTAGAACTTGGGTCAGTTTGTTTTCTTTGTACATCTTATTTGCTTATAGGCAAGACCAACAAGGTGTAAGAAGGATTGCTAATGTAATCAGAAACTTGATGGCTGAGATAAAGCGGCTGAGGAGAACAGGCTTGTGACTGGGAATAGGTTGGTGGAACTTGTGTACAGCCCTTTCTATGTTCAACCCATGTCTCAGGTGGAAGTACATTCAGTAAGTATGGAGACTGACTTTATTTCTAATGTTTATATTTATTTTATATAGTTTGCAATATGTTGTGCTAGATATATATTTTGTGAAATGGTCTGCTAAATTCTAATTCCATTTGCCCTTCTCTTTTCAGGTACAGTTTTCATGGAGATCCAGCTTTATTCAAGGCTCATCTTAAAGAGAAGGATGTGGCTGCTGGGACATGACTAAAATCTACATTCAACTGCTTGCAGATCTCAAGAAGCCTGGGGTTCTCGTGCAACGCTGCAAGCACTCAGGCTGATTGGGAAGTTAATTTCTGGTCCTTTGATAAAGCTCATTTACAAGAACGCAATGTGGCGATCAAATGTACTCTGTTTCTTAAAGTCATGGAAGCGTTGTTGACTTCTATTGAGCCTTTCTTGGTGCGACAGCTGGAGAGGTATCTGATGGGAAATCTGATTGGTGGCCAGTTGACTCATAAGTGGGAGCAAGGTGATCAGGGTGTGTCGCAATACAGTGGAAGGACTATTAGAAGACTGCCAGCAACAAAACAAAAGTCAGCTCTTTACACCATAAGCTACTGGGCAGAGGATGAGGATAATGCTGAGGATTTCAGTCATCGGGCAGAATCACTGGTGGTTGACTTTATAGGAATCTTTTTTTTCTTTCTGAATAATAGCTAAACAGAATTTCAGAGTACTTCTTTCATTTTTAGTGTAAAAATGAACTTTATTTTTTAAACATTAGTGTTTTTGTAAATTGTTACTGAAAAAATGATTGCTCTGAATTGTAAACTTATTTTGAAAACTAATACTAACAATGTTTATAATTAAGTTTAGTTTTCATAGTGTAAAAAAAATTACATTTTAAACTAATTTTTCAGGGTAATTGACATCAGCTAGATAATCCTAGAATCAGTAGTTAATGTGCTTCAAATGCTGGTCCAAACTAATTTATCACACAAGTACTAACGCTTTTTAAAATATATTTTTTTCCTCAGATGTGCTAATTGTATCTAAAGATTAATTATAATTGATACTTTAGAAAATTGTTTAACACTAAAGAGACTAAAGTGGTCCAAGAAATTTTTCGTCACCTATTTATTTCCAGCATACATTCAATGAATGGTTAGATTTACTAGTAATTATACTTTAAACCAATATTTTAATGTTTATTCCTTGATAATTGATACTATTTTTCTTCTTAAGAGATCGTAATGAGACGAGGCTGATTTCTTGTACTGTAGATTTGTTTCTTCACACTAATTATGATTATGTAACTGTTTTACAGTACTGTGATGGTCGTAGATTATACAAGGGCTAAATTTAGGTTGTCACTATGTAGTTTATTTCTTTGCTCTGATAAACATATTTTTAAATTATTGCAAAAAATCTTTTTTTTTACTTTGCCATTCTCCTAAATGTTTCTATTTTATTAGATAAAATTAAAATTCATGTGGTAATCTGATTACTGTATTTTAATACTGTGTTTCTCACATTCTAATAATTTACATTGCATAGTTTAGTAGTAATAAACACTGGTACACACTTTGACAGCTGTTTTATTTTATTTTGTTCTATAATTTTATTATGGCCTCCTGATATAGACACTGAATATCAAGTAAGTGGGGGGGGGGGGGGCTGAGAAAGTAACGTAAAGGCAACCAGTTGATACTTCAATTTATCATGTAGTGTATGTAGGTCTACTCTACTTCATCTACCCAAGTAATATCGTTCATTACAATTAGATATAAAGAACTTGTGCAGTAATATGTGCTTATGCATTTCTATTATATAATAATAGTAGTAATAGTATTAAATATTAATAAATCGATTTACAATAACTAGATCTAGTTTATTTTAAACCTAGCTCTACATTATTTTTTTTACACGGAGTAATAAGTCAATAATAATATATGAATGGCATTAAATTACTCATTCAAATCACATCCAGTCCAGTATAACTTAGACTTTAAGCTTGATTATAATTTTTTAGTTTTAAAAAAAATGCGAATCCCGGATGATGCAATAAAATTATAATTTTTTAATTTTTCGAAAAATGCGAATCCGTGATGATGCAATGAAAAAACCATCGGTGCCAACTTTTTTGCTTATGTAACATTGACTTGAATGACGAAGGTCTAAGCTGTTTTAGCCACGCCCACAAATTTTTAAAAGGCCATATCTTAGCTCCTAATTAAGCTAGAGACACAAAATTGGTATCAATGTGTAGGGAAAAAAATCCTGTTTTATTGTAGTATAATTTTACTTGAAATTAGTGGAGTTTGAAAAATACGAGCAACAGCCTAATTAAACACCGATCGAAACAAAAAGATAGACTGCGATCTATTATTAACAATATTTGTTTTTATGGTGACATAAAAACATTGATCGGAAAATCATGAAGCTATTTTTGTTTAGCCTAGTCAACAAAATATTTTGTAGGCATTCGATCTAATAACAAATTCATTTAGAGCCTATTTAATATTTCGCTGAAAAGTCTCTAAGATAGATGAACATAAATTATAATTTTTAAAAGTAGACGAAAACAAGCCTAGATCTAGAATCTAGATTATCTAGGACTAAATCCTTTTTTTTTTGCCAGTTGAACATTTTACCCTAACATAGCGCGAACAAAGTTCGTACGGGAAAAAATGGCGACGGAATTCGATAGTGAACTTGTGCAAGAAAACATAGAAGAATATGTTGTTGACGACAGTAAAATAGTAAGCATCAGCAATTTTTTTTCTTAAGTGTACAGTTTATACTTTATACTGACTCCTTCATTACAAGTCCTTACTACAATCCATAATAAATTAATAATAATAATAAATAATGGTTGCCTCATAAAGTAGGCTTTTTGATGAGAATTACAGAATGATTTTTTTTATTAAAAATGTATCAATAATAGCTAGAACACTAGTAAACTAAGCAAATTTAGCATATTTTAACTTTCTGTGCAAAGTCATTATTACTGAAAAAAATTCCAAAGTCAGGTCAGCCTGTGGCACCCTCCACTGAACGTGACAGAAGGAAAAAAAAAACGGTAATCTATCGTTTTGGGTACGTAAAATCGCCCGCGGCTATTAATGTACGAAAACGTTACCTCATTGTCAAGGCTTTAATAGGAGTATATTGTCATATGTTTGTATCAAATATTATAGATAAATGAATAATAAACCTAAATCAATGGCTAAATATATCGATATAGGCCAGAAATTAACTTTAAACAGCAGTGTCTGAGAGCAAGATTTGCTATATAAACAGCAGCCATTTGTAAAATAGAGTGGCTTCCCCCTGATCTGGCGCTAAAAGCTTATAAAAATAAAACTTAAACAAGATGGCTGCTATAGTAAATGAGCATGGTTGCATCTGTTGGAAACATCGCTAGTCTTTATTTATTACTGAAAAGTTTTAATTCAATTCTTTAAAAACAGGTACATAAATGAAACAAGGAAACATTTTTGTATTTTAAAAAATATAAATCCTCCTCAAAATGTGAAATAATTATTAAAATTTAAGGAGTCACCTGGTTTTCACATTACAAGTCGCGGGCGATTTTACGTACCCAAAACGATAGATTACCAAAAAAACTTCACCCGTGACCTTCATTAAAACAGAATTTGCTTTTTTATTTTTTTTTATTTTTGGTAAACATGTGCTTATTCTTACCCAATAAGTGATAAAAATTTGAAAATTAATTTTAATTACAGTTGTAAAGTAAGATAAACAGCTTAATAAACACATGCTTTCTTGAGGGGGTGTGGCCCGGGTGTGGCACATCGCAATTATAACTTTATATTTCTGTGTTTTATGACTATATTTGTTTACAATCAGCATGCTATGTTTTTAAAATTGATAAAGGGTAAGTATACCAAGTTACAAAATCTGCAATCTAACTAATAATTCATACTTTCAATTTAAAAAATAATAAAAACGATCATCAACGAAGAAAGCGTAAACATTCTATTTTTAGGTGTGACATAAAAAACAGTCATAAATCTAGCCAAATGATTGGATTCTTACGCGGCACACATTTTCCCGCGCCTCGTTTTCACCAAACAAGAATATAATAAAATGGCATTATTACTTACAGCATGAAAAGCATTGTTGTCAGCCTAATTATATTAAACAATTCTATTTTTATTTGATAGTAAAAATGTTATAAAAATTGGGTCTAATAAAAAAGTTATTGGATAACGCACCTGCTTTAGTTTATTCGACTTGAAACGCAAGCTAAGTAAGCGTGACTTTCTCTCGACGGCCTCGTTAAATACAAATAAAGAAATTAGGTCAAAAGTACATCTGGGAATTCTTAAATAACAGACTGAAATAGAAACGGATAGTTCCGATGTCTAAAATTAACGATGGCCTCGTTATTATTAGTTTTATCCCTCTACCGTTTAGTGAAAGCGAAACTGGTCGCCATTTTGAGTAAGCGCATGAGCCGTGAGATGGCTTCAAAACAACAAACCCGGAAGCTGTGAATCGAACGGCCTACTCATAAAGATTGGTAATCTATCGTTTTGGGTACGTAAAATCGCCCGCGATTTGTAATGTGAAAAACAGGTGACTCCTTAAATTTTAATAATTATTTCACATTTTGAGGAGAATTTATGTTTTAAAAAATTCAAAAATGTTTCCTTGATTCATTTATGTACCTGTTTTTAAACAATTGAATTAAAACTTTTCCGTAATAAATGAAGACTAGCGATGTTTCCAACAGATGCAACCATGCTCATTTACTATAGCAGCCATCTTGTCTGAGTTTTATTTTTATAAGCTTTTAGCGCCAGATTCAGGGGGAAGTCACTCTATTTTACAAATGGCTGCTGTTTATATAGCAAATCTTGCTCTCAGACACTGCTGTTTAAAGTTAATTTCTGGCCTATATCGATATATTTAGCCATTGATTTAGGTTTATTATTCATTTATCTATAATATTTGACACAAAAGTATGACAATATACTTCTATTAAAGCCTTGACAATGAGGTAACGTTTTCGTACATAAATAGCCGCGAGCGATTTTACGTACCCAAAACGATAGATTACCTAAAGATTAAAGTAAAGAGTAAAAGAGTAGGCCTAAAAAAAATAAAGATGGTGCTGTTACTGTCACCCCTGTGTGTCAGTGTGTGTGTACTGTGTAGTCTCGTAGTGTGTTACAGTGTTACTGTTAGAGATGGCTTATTAAAAAAAGTTAGGCCCTATTTATTATTTAATTATTAGGTAATAATTAGTATTAATTAGGCCTATTATTATATTATTTAGGGCCTAAACGGAAACTTAATGACTGAGCCTATGTTTACTAAAGTTTACTTTCTTCACAGGTTACTTGTAAATGGCTGAGTTTAATGCTAAATCTTAATATCAATGAAGCAAAGAAGTAAGTATCATGATGTTAGCTGATGTATCTTAATTCTTTTTGCTATAGCCTACTTTGGTAAAACTTTATTTTAGCGTATTTTATTCCCAGCTACACGTTCACCTCCAGTTGAGGGTATTTTATTATAAAAAGGTAAAAAAAAACAACATAAAAAAGCATTAGAACTGTTCCAACTAAATATCGTGTTGTGATCGTCAGTGGTAGAAAAATCCTCACACGGTCGCGAGTTCACCGTGAGTTCACATTGACTTTAATTATGAGCATACATCATAGCTCAGGCAATAGCTGTTTGAAATTGTGTTGGCCTCAGTGTTGGGGTCATTGTAAGTTCATAAATATTTATTTATAGTATCATGCCTGGGAGATACTTGTAACAATACAAACTTAACCACCTTGCAATTGTGAGTTACGTTTACGTACTTCACCCATTGCCATGAAAATTTTAACTGACACACGAACATAGCACATTCAGTATTCTAAATTTGATGTTTCTCAAGTTTTGACAAAAGTAAATTATAAAAATCTAAAACAAAGTCAGTCTCTTTTTTTTTTGTTCACTTTTATTCATTTGTTAAAACAAAAATACAATACAAATTAATAAATTGTGTTTTCCTAATGTTTTTGTGTGTTTAGATTATTATAATAAAATAAGCTCAACTGGAGGTAAACAAGAAGTGGAGAATAAAATACGCTAAAATGGAGTTTTACCCCTACTTTAAATAAGTAGGCCTATATTTAACTATTTAATTGTTGAATATCTTGGAAATAGTTTCATTATCATTTGGCTAAGTATTTTATAATTATATTTCCTGTTATAGCACGTCTATACTGACGAAATGTTTAGGATAATACATTTTTATTTTTATTTATAGGGCACTCTACACATTTGTAACAAATAAACGCAGCAAAGATAAAGACAGTGACTTTAATGTCACATACTTTGTTGCAGGTCATGGTGTGGATAAAAATGGAGAGCCTGTAAGTAGACTATATTTTTTTTGGTCTGAATTGAATTAATTCCAGCCTAGTTGTGATCAGTTTTTTCATTCTAATTGATTTACTTCAGTCTTGTTTTGTTGTGTAAATAAAAATGGACAATAATTATTTTTATATTTAAAAATATTTTTTTTTTAGTATAGTGATGTAGATGCTAAATGATAATAATGTAGCTTATTACTTTATTTGTCAATTTAAATAAAATAAATATCATTTGGTTATTCCTAGCAATTTACCCTGTGACATAATTATTGATTAGCCACACCCACATATTTGTATAACGGGTATAATATTTATATGTTTTATGCATTTTCATACACACATAGATGCACAAGTGTGTTGTTGTACCTGAAGCACACATTGATGAGGTGAAAACTGAGCTATCTGTTGTCACAAGTTGTCATATCTACAGTGTACAGAGATCAAAGCTCAAGGTATTTAAAGATACATTTTTTTCAAGGCAATTTTGAAATCAGGATGTACTGTATATTGATTATGTTGTTTGTTTTTACTAAAACATTTTGTTGATTATGAGATAAGGGACTACAGTTATAACAGTTTAGAATTTTATTTCTTACAAGTATTTGTATTTTTTGGCAGGATTACACACCATTATACATGACAGATTATGAAATTATTAAACAGAATTTAAGTAGATGTCAAAGGTACTGTTTTAGTGATATTTTAATTTTTTTTAAATAAATTTATTTCTGGTATTACTAGTTTCTTTACCTGTAGTATTTTTCCCTTGATTAAGAATTTTAAAAGTAAAATATGTAAGCTGGTTTAACAAAAGCTAATATCAAAGTTTATTTTTACTATTATTTTGTTAAGATCATTAGCATTGTGTTTTTTAAAAAAGTATTTTAAACTCTGGTCATGTTTTATTGTATCTCAGTTTAAGCAGTATAAAATGTTCACATGCAACAAAAAGAGAAGCCGTGAAACCATGTATAAAACCAATAGAAACACCATTGGCAAAGATAAAGGTAAGTTATTTGTAAATGTTAAACATTGTGTTGTCTCTGCTTGTTAATACTTTTGCTGTACTGACGGTTTAGAGTCGGAGCCTAGCTTTTCATTTTTAACTTTTTGCTGCCCTAGTAAAAGTACATAACCTTCCTAGTCTTAGTCTTTCCTTGTTAATAGATACAACTTCTGTCTTTAAACATGATCTGGTTAGAATTTAAAAAAAAAAACTAACTTAAACTAAATGTTAGACATTAAAAATCTTGCATGATCTGTTAAGAAATTTTTACAAACCAAATTATTAAAACACAATGTTAGCTTAAAAATGTTAACCGTCATTAAATGTAAAGTTCCCTTTCAAACCTGACGGTCTGTAGGGCAAGTGAAGTAGAGTTCACTTGTTTCTGGACTCAGGGACGTCTACTGACTTGAACCCGGATTCGAACTAGAGACTTACGGGTTAGCAGTCCAGCTCTCTACTGCTAGACCGCTCCGTCTCCTCTAACAGACATTACTAATACTGAAACCAAACCTCTGAAACCAAACATTTTTTATTCTTAACCATTTGACTCCTACCTTCATTGAACTAACACTACACATAACTGTTATATATGCTTTTATAACAGATTATATTTATTATTTAACAAAGGTTGAAAAAAATGGGGTATCAACATCTGCAGAGGCTGTCAAACCCCCATCTACAACAATCACGTCGTCTACAAAAGCCACGTCCAAGAAAGAACCAAAGGGAAGCATTGCAAGCATGTTCGCAACAGTCAACAAGAAGTCAGAGAAAGACGAGAACTCTGCAGCTGTCAGTGCTAAAGTTGACCAACCTGTAGTTGCAAGTAATAATAAAAAGGTGCATCCCATCTTTCCTTAGGTGTTCTGATAAAGGCTTTAGTGAAAAGAAGTGTACAGAGATCAATTTAGTCATTATGTTTTTTAAATGCTCTGCACCATTCTGAACTATTTTGTGTTAAAAATTTTAAGTTATAATCTAAAACAATATCAGAAATGTGTATTATTCTGCTGTCCAATTAATGCCCTTATTAGCTCTCACTTTTTAAACTTTTTTTTTTACCTCATCTGTTCACTAGACTCTACATTTTACCTTCACCTATGTTATATCCCTTTATCAAGCTTTCAGTTAAATAGCTTTAAAAATTGCAAAAAAAAAGGTAAATTCATAATTATCATTTTATAACCAACAATCCTTCAGCCCAAGCCAGTAGAAGAAAAAGGTGGAGTAATGGCACTTTTTAACAAACAAACAACCAACAAAGCAACTACAAAAGAGAAGATCGAACCCAAGGCAACTGTGATAGAGTCAAAAAAAGAAAATGAGCCTAAAAAAAAGTAAGTTCACTACCACAGTAGTCAAAGTCCTTGAACTTTTTATTTAAGCACTGACAAAAATTATTTCAAATAAAAAATTTTTTTTGCATCACTTTTCTCCAAATATGCCTGAGATGAACTTTTTTTTTTGAAAGCATGAGTTTATAAATATGGATATAAAAAAATTGCATTAAACGGATCAAAGATTATCATGTAACCTATTGCACTTGTTTATTTTTTTAATAGATAATTAAAAAAAATTTATCATGAAATTCAGTCTTTTTCAATTTATTTAGCACTAGATCAGATTTATGTGCCCCTACTTCCACTTTCTGATATGAGGTAGATTTATCCTTATTGTAATGTTGGTGATTATTTTGATATTTCTTCCAATTTTAATTATGTGTTTATAGAGCTCATCTGTTGGTATTTTTTTTTTTCAGAAAAAAAGAAATTAAAAAAGGAAAAAATAACTCAGGTATCTTTACTTAACCATAATTTAAAAAGAAAAGATTTCTAAAATTTGGATAAGCATTGAGTGGTAGTTTTAATCACAATTCAAACATGTTCATCAAGTATCATTTTCTTACATAAAATTCTCTGTCTGTATTATTTAAAATTTAATTTTAATGTTTTTAATTTTATGCTGTTTATAATGTGCTAGATGATGAAGCTCCTGTCGGCAAACAGAGGCGCAGAATTCGAACAGATCTGTTTGACTCCAGTGACGAAGAGGAAGAAGAAAGGGGTAAGAATTAAGTTTAAATCTACTCTCTGTCTTGAAAAATAGTGAGAGGTTTTAGTCATAAAATAATGAATTATGCACACTTATTTATTTTTGGAATTGTTAGAATGTGGGTAAAATGTGAAACGTAAAGTTGAGACAGTACCTGCGGAGTTGGAGATAAATGGCTGGACACAATCTGACTATTTGAGAGACAGTTTTTTTTGTTTTTTTACTCTTTTTTCTTTCAGCTGTACGAGAAAAGTTTTTTTTTTTAAAGAAAACCCTTTAGATTAAAAAATTATTCTAGAAATAAGTACATTTCATACATCGTCAACCGCTATGGTGAGAAAAAAAAAAGGGACACCATTCTCTGAATTTTGTCTGCGTTTTTGTATTGTTTTGTTTTAGAAGTAGCCTACGAGGTGAAGATCTAGATTCAAATAGTTATCAGTCCATTTCTTTAAAAGTAAATTGGATGAGCAACGTAGACAATTATCATTATGCTGATTGGTTGTGTGATATTATAAAATTATTTATTGCTTGGTTACCTTATGGTTAATTTCGTACATTAAGCACACCATAACACAACGCCTGGTGTTGGATCTTAGTTTTAGATGATTGTTAAATGGTCTCACAGTACTGGCAGTGGTAAAAAAAAAATGTTGTGACTGTTTAGTTTCAGAAGACGAAGAAGATCCGGATATTATAAATTGTTCTATTGAGATTGAGGAGGAAGTGAAAGAAGAAGATGTAGCTAGTAGTAAGGAGGAGATGAAAAAAGAGGAAGAGGATAAAGAGGCTGTAGAAGCTGTAAAGACAAATGGTAGCTCTAGAAAAAGAAAAAGGGTTATGAAAGTAGTGACGAAACATTATTTAGACGAGGATGGTTTTATGGGTAAGTAGTTTTTTAAAGGAACAAAGTCCTGTTTTTTTTTGCATTATGAAATGAAAAAAAACTTCTATATGTCCATTGGCAAACTAGAGTAGCATTTTGTGTGTAACTGATATATTGATATGATACATATTTATTTTGTTTTATATACTAATGAAGTTTAAATTTTAATTTAGATGGCCTATTTAAGTGATGCAAATTTATCACCAAAATACATAATCAAATTTTATGATAGAGATGTAGTTAGTAATATACTAGCACGATGTAGATTTAAAATTTTGCTTTGTCTTTCTGTTGTATGTAGTTTGTAAAAACAAAATATTGATATTTTGAAATTAACTTTTTTTAAAGTTACGTCCAAAGCGAATGAATGGGAAAGTGCTTCTGATGATTCTGGCCTAGAAGAAGCCGCAAAGGTTGATGAAAAAATTACACCGGCAGCAGATGTCAAGAAGATTCCTCCACCAAAAGCACAGGCTAAATCTAAAGCTGTAAGTTTCTATTTTCTATTTATCGTGTTCTTTTGTCGAATCTAAGTTTAAATAGCATATCTTTGTAATGATATTGCTAGTGGCCATTTTGAGTGTTCTGTATGGTTGATTTTGTATGTTTTAGAATTTTATTTTTGTAAAAGGCTTACAAAATAGGGAACCAACAAAATATAGTTTATTATAATATAATTTTAAACTATGATTTTGGCTGTGAAAATGGATGTATTTTCTTTTGTGTGAATAAAAAAAAAAAAAAAATTAGCATTAATTTTCCCAACAAAAGTGCATTTTTTATCAGTGAAAAATTAATAAATAACTTAACTTTGAAATTTTGTTTGTGTGTGTGTCTGAACATGATAACTTGAGTACTGTTACAGTACAGCTAGGTTGAGGAAATTTCATATATAAGTATTACATCAAATTTGTAGTTCTGTATCTATTTCTCAGCGATTTCTGGTAACCGGAAGTGGAATTTATTCTACTTTGGGTCTTTCAAAAGCTTATAATTTGAAAGCTTTTAACTTGAGTACTGTTTCTGATAGATGAAATTTCACTTTTAAGTAAAAGATCTAATTCCCTGTTTCTGTCAAATTTTGAGTAATTTCCGTTTACCGGAAGTAGTACTTGACACTATTTCCAATTTCTCAAAAAACACATATGAATTTACAAAGTACTGTTGAGCACTATTATACACACATTGTTTGCTGTCCACTTGGTGCAGAACTCTTTTTTCTATGAGATTCTTTTCTTTTTTAAAAAGTTTAAGTATTTAAGAATTGATTAAAAGTTATGTCTATATCCTGAGCTGCCATCCCCTGTAGTATTATACAGGAATAGTTGAGAAAGTTTAGGAGAGATCACTCGCAGTTTTTTAAGAATATATTAATTTTTATTTTTCTTATTCTGGAAATGGTGAAATTATTATGTCATAAAAATAGAAAACTTTCCTCTAACTTTATCAGTACACTACACTCGCTGATGTATAATTACTACTCTTGCATCTTTCATACTACCATTTGTATTAATGTTTTTAAAAAAAATACCACCATATTACACACTTGTTTTAATTTCATATTTCTTCCATGTATTGTCCTAATAACCATTAGTTCACATACCAGCTGTTACTATAATTAATCTTTTTTCCACTTATAGGTCCCTAAGAAAAGTGTATCTCCAAGTAAAGGGAAACAAACCTCCATGTTCTCCTACTTCAAAAAGCAGTGACCAAGTGTACCAAACATTGAGAAGTTTTCAGTTAAAAGCCTTTGACCATCAGTGAGCCATTATTCCATCAGTACGTGACCACCCATCAATTACCAAGTGTACCAGACATTGAGAAGTTTTCAGTTAAAAGCCGTTGACCCTCAGCCATTATTCCATCAATACTTGACCACACATCAGTGACCAAGTGTACCAGAAATTGACAAGTTTTCAAGACTTTGACCATCAGTGAGCCATTATTCCATCAATACGTGACCAAAACTACCAGGAGTTAATGACATATTTGCAACCTGTGTCCACACAATCTGCCCACAATCACAGATCAGGGCTGCCTACTTGAATATAATCATGCCTGTAATGACTTTGACACCCAGGTTCTGATATTTTGATTAGGTTTGGTAGTAACATGACAATAGAAATAATTGTTTGTGTTAAGTAGTTTAAGTTGTTGTTTTTTTTGTGTGGTAACTTGTGATTCCAGGTCTGAGATTTATATTCAGCTACCATAGTTAAAATTTCAGCTGTGTTGTCTGGTATTTCTCCTTTATCTGCTCTAAAAATCCACCCAGCTCTGATGGGTACCTAACTCGCTGTAGAGAAAGTAAAGGTGGCTGGACATAGTGCTGACCACACTATCCCTTCATATGTATAGGTCACAGAAATAGGTGAACTCTACTTTTCTTGCCCCATAGAACATCATGCTTAGAAGGGGAACTATACTTCCTGTTTTTACTTTCAACTTGAGACTAATTATTAAACAGTTTTCAGTGAGTAGCCAACTCACCCTCAATTATTGACCACTAGTGACCAAAACTCCATTAATGACAAGCCACTGTTTATAATTATTCCCTCCATAAAACTGCAACTGAATGCTCCCTTAATGTCTGCATATTCTATTAATAAATAACCTTTGCATAAGTAATAAATGACAAATACTCCATTTTTGACAGTCTAGCCACAGTTTTCTATTGCTTGTTGAATATACCTTTGATTAGTGGTAAAGTTTTCAAAATTGTAACCAAATATACCCCAAAAAAGAGGCCATTTTCTGTTGCTGACTAAATATACCCTAAGTGTCAAGTTTTCTATAGGGCTGACAAGTATGTCACCAACCAGTTCTATAGCTCATGCAGGTTTTACCGAGCCATAGAACTGGTTGGTGACCTACTTACCAGCCCTATTGTTGACCAAATTTACCCCAAAAATAGATTTTAATTAGTGGCAAATACTGAATTCCAACTTTTCTTTCTTTAGTGGTCAAATACTCATTTTAATTAGTCAAACTTAGTAATAATTGGTGGTAATGAAATGTTTGTATTTTTTTTCCTGACCCTGTGCTGGTTTCAGTTTTGAGTACACATCAGTGTGCAACTCTGATGTTCATATGGAAATGTATTGAATTATTTACTTTATAAGTAATCTCTATTTTATGAGGGCTTTTGTTTTGAATTTTTTGTATACACAAAATATAGATGTTTAATTAGAATGTCTTTTTTTTTTATCTATTGTAACTTGTTTGTTGTCAACTACCCATCCATCCATCTAATCTCTCCTCTCCATCTCTATGAATAAATCTATATATATAAAGCAAAGTTGTCGGGTGCCCGATAGAGCACTTCCCGGCGCCGCAGGCGCTTCAAATTTGTCATGAGTCTGCCTTGAGGCGAAAGAACACTAGAGCAGGTGCCTGTTGGCCAACAAGTCCACGTAGAGGGGGTCAAAACTGACCTCGACTGACCGGCGCCTTATATGGGCTATATTACGAAAAAACGTTTGTCCGACGCCCCCCCCCCCTTAAAATTTTGTGAGGTGGTAGGAGAACGCCTAGGGGTGTCACGAAAAAAAAACGCGCCATTTCCGGGAAAAAAACTTACCAGTCGTATTTCTCTATGTAATCTTTGTATTTTATGGGAAAAATAGATGGTAATTTCAACAAAACTTTCAGGGTACTTACCCTCTGTACATCAGGCATGCTCTTAGGTAAAGGCTAGGCCGTAAGGCAAACCTGTCGGTTTCACTCAAAGCCCTCGACGAGGGCCAAAAAGTGAATGCGCGTGAAATTCTCTTTATGTGAGCTCTATTATGTCATTTGGTCTATGAACAGGGGAGGTAATAATTTTTAAATATTTTGTATACTATTTTTAAGAAAAAAAAAACAAAAATCATATAGTATAGCATTCTTTTAAATAGATATGTTGTTATAAATTAAGTTTTGTATTGTACTGAAATTGTAAAAATTAATTGCGAAAGTAATTTAATATAATATTTGATTGATACTATAAGAAAGCCCTTGCAGTTCTAATAACCTTGCGAGTAATAAGTTTGCAAATATTCCATCAATGTTTGTCTGATATGAAATTAGTCCACTGTATAAATTTAGGCCCTAAGCATTTAACGTAAAAGTCAATCACCTATTAATTAATCATTCAATTTCTCAAATGTTTTCGAAAACCTTAGCGAATCTTTCAAAATTGATGTCCTTAGCGTGCTACAAAGCAAATGGACACGAGCGAGAAAAGTCTCAAAGGTATTTGAGAGGTGTATAAATTCATTTAAAAATCTTGCACGGCGTAGTTACAATTAATATGGTTATAAAATCCTGTCTGTCTGGTTTTTTTCGGACTTTACTAAAGATTGGATGTATTTGATGTTTTTAAAATTTTCGGTAACTAAATAAAAATTTAAAAAAAAGCAAAAACAATTTGGTTTTCACGTGTAATGGCGACATAAACAATGGCATCCTGTTATTGGATAGGCCGCCATAGATTTTATTGTACACATTGTAAGCTAAAAATAGAAAGCTAGGTCATGGGGTTTTAAATTTGCATTGTTATTTAAAAACTTGATCTGCAAAGTTTTGTAAACAAATAGTTCTCGATCGCTAAGTTACTGTACAGCCAATCAATATTTGTCTTACGAAAGTGAAACATCCGGTTATAACTTAGGCTTGATGAAAATAAATAGAAATGTAGCCTTAAACTCAACAAATTATTTTCAAGTTCTCTAGATTTGCAACTTTTATAGCATTTATTCTAAAAATATAAAATTTCTAAATTAATTTTAGGCTTAAGTTTTTATTTTTTATTTGTTTTTTACGGTCTAAATCTAAAAAGCACGTTTTTATTCCATGTCAACAACATTATGGAAGGAATCTCGTCAACTCGCTCGCCTCCATTATTTGATGAGCATTTTAGATCTAATAGAGTCCTTTCATATGACGCCACGTCCGTTCGTGAATGTAAACATCCCCCATCGCGGTTTACAAATCTACATTCAAAATGGTGATCTGTGCGGTGAAAGGTTGTGATACTCGAAGTGGCAGATCTAAAGGGATTCCTTTATTTCGACTGCCAATAGATATATTAAACCAAGATGATAGAGATCGACAGTTAACAGAACGTAGACGCCGTCAACTTTTAGCCAATATTTATCGCAGCGGTGTGAGTGAAGCAGCGGCAATACATAACATGCGAATCTGTTCTCGACACTTTGTTTCAGGTAAGGACAGTAAAATAATAAACTTCATTTTAATTATAAAAGATAACTATTAATAAAAAAAATATGCTCGACCTTCACAAATACTAATAGTAAAAGACAAAGTCAAAAGTAATAATAAGATCTAAAAGTAGGCCTAATAATAGTGTTTTAATAGCTAGATCTAGAATCTAGCTCTAAACATGGCGTAAACAAAATTCGGACCACAGATCTAGATTCTGGATTTAGGGTGACTGGCTCCGCTGAGTAGACCTAGAATCGACTTATTTACTTAAATTTAATTACAAAATTTAGATCTACATTCGATTCAAAATACACACATAATAAATCAAAAGTAGCCATAATAGGCCTAATAATGCATTTAATTGTCTCTATGATCTAAAATCTCGCTCTATAATCTAATAATTTTTTTAGCAAACGAAATTTTCTGAGATTTAAATAGATTGTATGACTCGACTTAGATCTAGAATCTGCTATTTAAATTAAATTGTAAAAATTTGATATTATTGTAGTAGAAGGCTTTAATAAATTGGCCTACCTACTTAGTGTCTTTCTACAGCAATATGTATCTGATACTGGACCGAGTTAAATTAAATTCAAATGCATATCTAGTAATTGGTCTACTAAGTTTATGTAGCCTAGTAGTAGAATCTAGATCACACCAGCCAACAACAAATAACCACATTATTATTATTTGGTTAATGATTAGGCTAATTTTTAAAAAAATCCACTGTTTATAAAAGAAACAAATCAAGCCAGAAACATTATAAATGAGATGGTTTAGAATAATAACAATGAACCCAGTCTACAATTGATACAATTGCAAGTCTACATAGGGCCTACAGTCTAGTAGTTTAGGCACCTAGTGTGTAGCTAGTATACTAGTGTGTAGCTTTCCCCTGATAAGCCACGTGTGCTATAAATGACATAACATGACACCGAGGTGAGAAATGTTGAGGGGAGAGCAGTGGGACTTTCCCCTTTGTTCTCCCTGCTTGTCACTGAGGGTCAAAATTATATAATAGATACTATCTCTGTGGGGCTGGGTATCACGGAGGTGAGAAATTTTCAGGGAAGGGCAGTGGTACTGACTCCTCTTTGGTTTTATTGTGGGCTAGAAAAAGGTGGGGGCTGGCCATCATGAGGGTTGAACATCAGTATTAATGTGTCTGATCACTTACCTGCTGGATTATAAGGGTCTTAAATTGTGTAACATGCTACCCAGATTGGCTGAGATCTAAGAACAGCAGTGGTTATTACCCATGAATTATATTAGCCGTTGTAGTGTGGGTTTTGTAGGAGTTAAGTGGTCTCACGTTTGCTACAATAGTGTGGTTGTACTAGATCTATTGCTACTAAATCATGTACTTAACAGAGAATCTAGAATCTACATTAACCAGATCTAGATAACCTATAATATATTACTGCATTTGATCAGATTCGTCTACTTAAACTCTATACGCAAACAGTATTACTAACAGTATTTTTATTTAGAAATTTGGGCCATACCCATACCCATACCCATACCCATACCCACATCCACGTCCACGTCCACGCCCACGTCCATATCCATATCCATATCCATATCCATATCTATATCCATATCCATATCCATATCCATATCCATATCCATATCCATATCCATATCCATATCCATATCCATATCCATATCCATATCCATATCCATATCCATATCCATATCCATATCCATATCCATATCCATATCCATATCCATATCCATATCCATATCCATATCCATATCCATATCCATATCCATATCCATATCCATATCCATATCCATACCCATATCCACATCCATACCCATACCCATACCCATACCCATACCCATACCCATACCCATACGCATACACATACACATACACAAACACATGCTATGCACATGCACAAACACATGCATATGCACATACACATGCACGTACATGTACACGTACACATTCAAAACTTTATTGCCAACATAAACCCACGGACACAAACGCTAGCACAATCACATCCACACACGAAGGCAAACACGAAAATATTTATGTACACACATACAACACACACTTGCACGAAATCACACCCTCGTTTACAAACACACATTAACACACTCGCGTAAAATCGCATTCCCACACTAGTGTTCACTACATATATTACTATACTGTCAAGAACGCACGCTCGCGCAGAACAAGCACGCTCCTATTTATCCCAAACACACATACACACGCTCACTCGATGAGAAAAACTCTCATGCAAACACACATACACATGCTCACCAAATCGTTTACATCTAAAAACTCAAATGCACAATTATACACACTAATACTAAAACTATCAATTACATGTAGGCCTATACATTGTCACAAATATATACGCTAAATACAAACACACATATCACACGCTCGATATATACACATCACGCACAAACTTATTTGTTTATTTCCCACGAAAACACACGCTTACACTTTCGCACATACAAATTAGGACGCTTATACACACTGTTATTTTGCATGTCCTCAACATAGGCTTGTGCTAGTGAATATTGGTGCGCACGTAAGTTGAACGTATAAATGATGTGACGCGTATAGTGTGATAGTGACGTTTTTGTGTAGAGACTGTTTGCTGTGTATTGTGTGTGAGTTAGTCTGATTTTTTTTTTCGTCTTGGTGAAAGGGTGCACACGAGTCCAGTACAAGAATAAATATAAGAAGAGGAAAATCTATTTTCATCTTGTTGATTTGTCGTCACATGTTCGTCTGGATTAGAAATTTAAATACAATTTAGTTTCCACATTTAATTTACCTAACACATTATTTTCAACCAAAGTCCGTATCACTAAGTTCTCCATATATAGTAGAAGGTGCTGATCTTTTACCCTCGGAAAATATGTTGCGGATAGAGAGAGAGAGAGAGGTGCGAACATGGGCTTTTGTATATTAGGATATATGCATTTGGGCTTTGTCTTCGATATAAAACTATTGTTTCGGGGAAGACGACGGGCTCTCTCA